AAGAATTGAGGCAGTTCTGAAGGCAAAAGGGGGTCCAACCCGTTACTAGCATGGGGTACCTAATAAAGTGGCCGGTGAGTGTAGTTTTAACCATTCAAGCAAAATGGTATCCGACTTATTATTTATATAATTATTTATCTTAATTAGCTCAAAAACTATATTTTTAAGTCTATTAACAATTGATCGGCTCTTAACTACATATTAGATACAAAAAGAAGTAAAAAAAAAAATCATAGAAAATATTGATTAGAGGACTCACTCTGTTACCCTATATAAGTTCCCATAAGTGTTTCTATGAAAAGGCAGTTTGGAAATATAATAACAGCTAATTTCTCATCCAGTAACTGAGGAAATGTCTCCACTCCAGATAGATAAGCAGCCGCAATGCCTTTTTTAAGTAGAAACATCTGCCACCCTGAAGATCATAAACCATAACAATCAATCATAACTTAAAAGACATTATTATGTTACAGTTATGTCATGTCATGTCATATTCTCTCAACACACAAATACTTTGGTTCAGCTTTATGTCAATTATGCCTCTAATTGGTTGAATCTTAAGACTTGTGATATATAGACAAAGATGAATCATGCAAACTGATTGTTTTTAATATACTGTGACACCTTAAAGTAAAACATCTTTGTGTCATTTGTGACCCTTCATTAACACTGATCCATCCTAAGAACTAACAAACATTTTCCACAAGTGCACATCAACACACAATCAAAGTAAATGTGCAGAGGCACCCTGGGGGGTGGCAGCAGCTTTGAAGTCGTCCCTATTTACAGATACACTGATGGTTAAAAAAAAAAAAAAAGAAGAAGAGTTTGGGTTGCATCCAGCAAACACAATACATGATGAAATTAGTGTCTGTTGAAACTGAAAAGTTAAAAATGAAATGCGAAATGTTATAACAGATATAATCATCAAAGGGGGGGTGGGGGGTACCAATTAAAATCTACACCAAATGACAGTCAGGCGTAAAGATAACATCAGTGCACACTGAGCAGCTCATGAATGAGAGTAGCTTTTATCAAGACTGTCAAATTATTTAGAGCTGTTTGCCGAGTCGAACTGCAGCTTATGCAACCACAATATTAACGTTCCAGTTTACGGTTCTAATATAATGCTATTCTGGGAAAGTTCAAGTTTTAGATTCGAAAAATATTCTTTTTCTAAACAATAAATAAAGGCTTAGCGAAGCAAATAACTAAAAACATGCTGCAACAGCAAGATGCAGGGAGTGAGCAGCATTGGCCTTGCTTGTGATTCTTCTTACCTCCTGAAGCTTCAACCTCCACCTCCATATTTTCATTTCCTTCTATTTCTAAAGGTTTTTTTTTCTTTTAGATAACAGACAAAGTATCTTTGAAGACCAGATTTTTATCTGCCTTAGATATCAGGCACCATTTAGTATTAGATTTTTTGAATGTTGTACACACACATGTCACCATCACAGAAAAGCCTTTTTAATTTCCAGAAAACCTTTCCATTTAATATTTCTATGAAATATATTGTCTTCAGGTACTAAACCATGTCTGATTGCAGTAGAATCAATTTCTATAAGGAGCATTGAAAACACCCTACAAGAACCTTGACTCCTTGTCAAGGTTAAGCATGGAAACAAATCCTTTCATCTCCCAGTTAATACACAGATGAGGGTTAAAAAATGATCACTACTATCAGTTCTGAAAGATTTCGTTGGTGACAAATAGCTGGGATTAGTTTTGAGGATATCACTTTCAAGGCACATATCTGAGTGTGAGGCGGAAGATTAGACAGCGAGAGCATTCTCACAACAGCATCACACCAAGGTTCACAAAGGAATCAGAGACATGAGGATAAATCACAGCAGCTCCACTGGGAAATAAACGAGCTTCATCCAACGGCACAACGTCATGAGGATTTTAAGATTTGCTTGGCTGATGAAACAGATATTTATGAACAATGAAAAAGCTGCACATAAATATAAAAATATGATGTTAAAAACTAAGATCTGCACTCCAAAAAGAGTGAAAGAAAGACTAAAATAAAACATTAGACATGGAATAAATAATTTAAAGGCCTTGTAGTAAAAATCCCCCTCATATAAAAAATAAGATATGAGAAGTAGAGCCATGTGAAATACTGAGGCAATTGTTACTTGTTTCTTGGGGTCTTTAAAATTTTCAAACAGAGTGGTTAGAGCAGAGCACTGAGAAGAAGAGCTTTCTGAGAAGGCTGTGAGTGTTTGGACAGGACACCCCAGATTGTTCCCTGAGCGCTGCAAGACAGTTATTGGTATGTACAGAAGCAATGAGAAATAAATGATAAATAAAACTAATATTAGCACCTAAATATGGGAATTAAGTTTTTAACTGCTGCTGTTTAATGTTTTCTGTCTGTTAAAGTTAAATCATTCCATCTGAAATTTTATTCAGAAATACAAAAGTACACTTACACTGTAGAAAATATCACATTAAATCAGATTAAGCTCTTTCAATTTTAAGCCAGTCAGGATTTCTGAAACGATCTCTATGCAATAAATGAATAATTACAAATTTATTTTTGCAAATTATGTATTGGTTTTTTGATATTTGGCATTGTAAACTGATTCAATACACAGACATTGCAAACTAACCAAATCTTTAACTATCATTCAAGAAAATATTTTAAACCATTGCTTTGTGGTGTAACATCATTGAAAAATCTAAAGAAATTAGCAAAGGTATCAAGTAAATAATTGTGAGACTGCATGAGTCTGCTTAAAACAAGTTCCATGTTCCAATGGGGGTCAGGTTTATTTATTCAAACAACTAGCAATGATAAACAACATGAGTATGTAAAGATTTGATGACATTCAGCAAGAAGAATGATTCTGTGTTACAAAGATAAATGTGTTTGGGTGCAAAATATGAAAACGTCTAATTATCCACAGTATACTGAAATGATGGACAGAAAGGTCGTTCAAAGTGAAGTTATTACTTCAAAACCACCAACAACAAACCGATTAGTTTGCTTATACATTTGCCATTCTTAAATTTAATAAAACTGCATTAAATTACCTATGTAACAATAGAACCAAACAGGAAAAACTTGCAAGCTTAAGAACACAATTCCAACTGTGAACATCAGTGTCATGATTGGTTTAAGGCTAAACCCACATGCAGAACACAAACGGAGGCTGAATAAAAGTTTATTCAGAAACAGAGTTTATTGAAAAAGGTTTTCACACAAAGACATGAACTGGTTCAGGTACTGGTCCGGGTTGGGTTCACTGATGTCTGCAGAGACGGACAGTTTGATTAGCCAGGCTGTCAGATAATTAATTGAGTCTTTAGATTATTCAGAGTCTACCTTGAAGAAGTCCAGGCTTTACTTGTGAGAGAGGGAACCGTTGGGTCCAGAGACTGTTGGTTCAGCAGAGTGCACAAGCAGCAGCAGCGTCTAGCTTCTGACTTTGAATGGCAGACCTTGATCAGAGTTTCCAGCTCTTTTCTGAGAGCAGCAGGAGAAATCCAGATTGGAATCTTCAGGTTCGGCTCACCAGGGCTGGCAGGCAGGTTAAGCTCATCCAGAGGTTCAGACTTGAGACAGGTTTCCTGTGAGCAAAGACAGAGGCAGATTAGAATCAGGTTTCTCTCAAGAGACAACTAAGATTCTTTCAGGTAACAGAGGCTCAGGTTCGCTAACCAAACTAGGTCAACACTGCGGCGTTGAAGGAAGGTCTGGCAGCTGCTTATGTAGGGAAGGTCTCCTGATGAGCAGAGAGCTCCAGGTGTGCTGGAGGGCTCCAGCCCAGGAGACCCACGGCGTACTCTGCTGGAGAAAGGTGGTACATCCCCAGATCCCAACAATCAGTGGTAGAAGTGACATGTTGGGTGTTTTGTGACAATAAGTCTTGGTGCAATTTAATAAAGGGATTTTATCATCAAGAAAAAAAAACATAATGTGAAATTATAAAAGCAATACCTTAAGGTAATAGTTAGAACATCCAAAACGGTGGATCAGTTTATTCTACCCCTCCCAAAAATTTAAACCCCTTCAGATGAAGAAATAATGAGTGACCATAATAATTAGTGGTGCGTTCACCCCAAACCCAGTAATCTGAGAAAATTTAATAATTCTTTTGTACTAGCTAGCTTGAAAATCAATTTGCATGGCAGGAGAAAGGTTTACCTAAGTCACCGGGTCTCCTTGTTGTTGGTTTCACCTCAACATGGAAGACCAGGATTTTACAGAGAGCGTCGCGGTAGAGACCACTTTCTGGTGCTCAGACATGAGAAAAGAGAGCAAAAATCATAGCAAGAACCCCAGGAGAGTGAGCACCAGAAACTGGCCTTGCACTCCGCTGAAGCTAAGGAACCACTGAGGAGATCAGTGAAGATCACTAAGTGGAGCAAGCAACAGATCAGAGAGAGGCCGGGCTAGCTGTGGCTAGGTCTGGTGGCAAACAGCCAGAGATAGTAGAAGACCACTCGATAGAGAGCACAAAGCGGGGAGAGGTGGCGGAGTCTGGTGGAACTAAGGGAGAGCAACAAACGTCTTTCTAGGTAAAGCATGGATACCGAAATTCTCACTTCTGTTCTGTGTGTCAATTACATTTTAAGTAAAATCTTAAGTAAAATCCATCATTGGTCTATCGATTACACAGACTGCTAGTTGAAAAACTGTTCTCTGTTGCATTAAACTAAAAACTCTTCATTGTCTACAGCATGATCTTTGCTTGTCTTAATCTCTTTATAAGAAAAATCCACCAAATAATAAACTGTCTTTTTAATCCATTAGTCATAGCTCAGAGCCACACGTAGAACCACGTGAGAGTTTAAGGCTTTAGAACAGAATAGCTTACTGCCTGCAAAACCTAAAGCAACATAAAATATGAGAATCAAAGCTATACGAATATAGTAGTTTTAAAAGTAAAAATTTTGACTTTACTTTCTTATACAGAACAATTCACTCTTCAAAACCAGTAGTTGTAAAAAGCACTCAACAGGATCCAGTTCACAATAAAGCAGCCCTCATTAGAGATCGCTCAGTTATCATGAGGATGAAACTGAATATTAGACATACACTCACCAGGTGGTCAGAAAGGCATCTTGAAATGAATTCTAATGTCACTCTGCCTGCCAAGGGAGAGAGCCTTCTACTTCCAAGCTGCACAACAGTACAACTTCAATTAGGCACATCAATCAGCTGCACCAATGCACTTGATGCCTCCTTCCTCCAATATCATGAGCTTAGGCTTCCTTTTCCTTCTGTGTATTAATTCACAATTATAATTAGTCCCTAAACAATCTCAATTTTCTCATCTCAAAGCAGAACAACTCAAGGATATAAATTTCAACACTGCCTCAAAACATATGCTTCGTTTGCTATTTTTAAATTGAAAGAGATTCAGTGTAGACATTCGGCTGCACCTGCTTACATTTCCGTCAGATTAGAGTAGGATAGTTGTCATGGTAATACTGGAAATGCAATTATTTATTTATTTTTTAGCAATCAAATCGGAAAAGGCGGTATATGGGTTGTATTTGCCACAAGTAAGACCTAGCAAAATGTACAAAAGCATTATTACAAACGCACCTGTCCTTGCCCTTTTGGCTCCTGAAGAGTTGTGACCGGTGAGGATAAAAAATGTATGTTTAAAAGTGTAATGAAAATTTCTCAATTCTTTGAATACTATCAAATGACCATCTGAGATGTGCCAGTTCTATTATAGGGTCTATGGGTTTTGTCTCCCAACAACATACCTTAGCATTTCAACTCTACCCTGTCATGATCTTGGTGCTGATGACTGGCTTAATTACTCATTTCATTCACCTGCCTAACTCCACCTAGTTTCTCGTTACTCTTTATCTGATCCACCTGCTCCAGCTTCTATTTAACCAGCCCTCTAACCACCGATCAGTTCCATATTATTCTTGACCCAATGGTGAGAGTGTGCACGCGTTACCTTACCCCAGGCTCACACCGACTCCGGTCTTGCCGTTGCGGTGCGGTGGGTGCGGCGCCGCAGTGATTCCAAGTCATTAAAAAGACGTAAACCTCTCTCACCGGCTGCTGAGCTGTCCGGCTGCGGTTACCGAGACACTCCGGCGCTGCAGAAAATTCCGCAAGAAAGCTATCCTTGCGGCGTGCCGGAGCCCTCCGCAACAAGCTCTCGCAAAAATCCTTTATTTGGGCCGTGTTATCGCGTGAAGTTACGTGAACTCAAGTGAACTTCTGTTAAATCTCCGGACCTGTTGCCGGAGCCGCAGAGCCGCACCGCACCGTAGTCAAAAGGGCGGTGTGAGAGGGGGTGTGCGGGAGTTGCGGTCTCCGTCGGCTCGGTAACTGCACCGGAGCCAGTGTGAGCAAGGGGTTAGTGTTTCTGATAACCTGATCCTGACCTGTTCTGCATCTCAACCACTGAGCCTGCCTGTTCCTGTCTGATCTGTTTGCCTGACCTGTTTTTGGACTCCTGCTGGATTTTGCCTGTTTAATGAACTTGGAGCTGTGTCCTGTCACCAATCTGAATTTCCTTCTGGAACCTCTTTTGACTTATGATCTCTTGCTTCTGAATCTTGAGCATGTCCTTAACCCAGCTTTGGCTTCACCCTGTCCTCCTTTGTCTGCCTTAAATACTGGGTCCCCTGTTCTGAGCTCTGATATACCCTCTTTAAATAAAGTACATACTCTGTGAAACATTTGTCTCTATTAGAAACTATTTATCTTTGTAATTACTCGTCCAAACTGCTTTTAAGTTTGCTTTATCTTAGCAGAAATAAAGTGAATACCTAAACTAGCAATCCTTTGGCCTTATTTCCATTTGTCTGGTAGTTAAATTGCATTAAGAGAAACCCTTGTTTCTTTTTTTTCCTTAATACTGGAAGTAACTGTTGTGTTTAAAGCTAATCCTGTTATTGATGAGAAAACTGCTCATTTCTGTGATCCACATCATTTAAATTAATAGTTGAAACTTACCTAGAAGTCTCAATATGTTCTTACCCCTCTAATTTCTCAAACCCACTGAGTGAAAGAATCACCTAAAGAATCTACCAAACCATTAAGGGTTGTCAAATATAAGGTTGTGAGTGCCTCAACACGTTTGTTTGGTAATGCCATCTCATTAAGATAGATTTTTATTCCTGCAGTTTTATTAATCCTATTAGTCTTCCAACACCTTCTCTGTCTTGTTAGGGTTTTTTTTAAGTGTCATTGCTTATGTGTTGAAAACAATGTTGTGAGATATATCATGTTAGCTGTGATCTCTCTTTTAGAGTCGCCGCCTAAGTTGGTTGTTTGCGAAAGCTGTTGTTAGAGCAACCATCTGAATAAATTCGAGAGCGGAAAAGAAATCGTACTTGTTTCTATCACGTGAATCTGCAAAGGTTTTTGTACGTTTTCTTAAAAGACCATTTGTTGCAAAATCGCTGCCGTCTATTTTCTTTCCCCTCCATCTGCCGCTCTCTTTTTCTCTCCATCTGTTTGATTTGCTCTGGCAATCAGTCCACATCAGCCATAAAATGTGCGGGCAGAGCAAAGGAATGAGGAATGCTGTAGAAGTAAAGCATGTTGTGTTTGATAATGGTGTTTTATAAAAAGGAAGGTACTACGTTCAGATCCTGACAAAACAGGTCATTCATTTAGCTTTTTTATGTTCTTAGACCGCTTTCCTGGCATTTCCTAAATATTTTTGAAGAAGTTGCTTTTATTATTTCCAACTTGGTTTTATTACAGCTCAGGACAATTGAATAAAGATTAAAGCAACAATGAAAACGTACAGCATTTGTTTTAGACAACCAGCAGGTGAATTACCTATCATCAGGGAAGGTGAACTGGCGAAATTGAACTTTAATTATTTATATCACTCCTGCAGCAGTAGCAGCCTTTACAACAAACTACTGGAAGAAATATCAGTGTGTATATGTATCTATGTGTCTTTAGGTGAAAGAATATTATATACACCTTACAACATCCATGAGTAATATGTGTTATGTATAATTAAAGAACGCTTGCTAGCTTGTGATTACAACTTCAAATGCTGTTTGCCCTGTACTTGAAAAGAAATATAGTCTTTTGTGGAGGGCTGACATGAAATAACATGCCCCCTGAGGAATTTCTTTAATATAATTCCCAGAAAAATACCAGTAAAATGTTATGCTAAATAAACATGGGATGTATGCTCTTGCTAGTATTACAAAGGGTAGTCATTTCTGTAGTCAGACTATCTAAACCCCCACGCCCCCCCTCTCAGTAAGAGATTGTTGAAGGACATTTCTTACTTTAAATATTATTTCTATATCAATCATTCCTGAATAGGTTTTATAAGAACCTACAAGTATCTCCATTGTGGTACACAAAAATTCTCATTCATCTTTGACAATAAATTCCAATACCATCCTACTTCAAGTAGCTCTGTCTTTTAAAAAAAAATTCAAAGCAAGTAATAACTAAAATGTTTTCCCGCATGGCTAAAACAAATCAACTGACTTTTAAGGTTTTATCATTTTGGTTGTATTGGCTGTTTAGCACTATGTTGTCATGGGAAAACATAGCATAATGTAATTTAAAAAATGAAAAGTCAATGTCAATATTAATTATGTTTTGCTTTCTTTGTTTTTTTTTGATGAAGTAACCTTGATGACAAAAATGTATGGTTTAATTTCAGTATGTACATCCAAGTCTGATTAATGAACGATCTCTGTAATCAAGAAATAACTTTAAGAGATTCTCTACGACAAGATGAAGTAGGATATACTCAAATCAA